TATTAAGCTAGCCTGTAGGCTGTCGGTAGAAACTACAATATATATTATTGAAATTTTTCTGTCGGTAGTGGTATAAATTCAATTCCCCGCGCTTGCGCGGGATTTCATCTAGTTCTCTTAGAATTTTATGTCCACTTGTCCAATATGTAGTCAATACACATGGTTGACATGCATTTAATTTTATACCTGCATTAGCATTCAACTTACATTGAATTTTAACCTTATTTTTTCATTAAAAGTGAATGCACAATGTTGAAAATTTAACTTTCTATGATGTAAACAGACTGGAAGATGAAATACATTGTTTCTTATTTATTTCAAACCAGAGAGGGGTCTTAAAGGAACCCCCTCCCACTTGTATGGATCCTTCTGTTGCTTCTATATTTAAAATGGAAATTTCGCATTCGTCTACATTAACTTCAATTTATCAAACTGTAAATTCTCCATCTATGTTTAAATTATTCATTGTAAATGTGTCTTCATAACTGTATGGCAAACAGGAGGAAATAACTCAACTAGGGGAGGGGAAAGATCTCCAACATTTTAAGAGTTGTTCCTCTGTGATTAGTGAACTTTTTTGGAAACGGGTTGTAAAACATTATTTTTCTTAAAAGGAGAATAAAACAGTATTGATATGGCTAATTCTTAATTTTAAGATAGACCCGTGATCTGGTAATTGAGAATGTTACATCGCAAACTGTAACAAAAGACAGCAGTCAATGTATCATAAAAAAGATAAAGCTTATATTGATCACGGATACGAGTTCAAAGTTGGAGAACTTTAAAACATAATCTTTCCTTTCTTCCCTTTTTATGGAGGGAGGGGCGGGTCTAAATCAAAAGCACAAATAATCAAGGATACGATTTGGTATTTCTAAAGAAACAACATCAAGCCCCTAATCCCATTTTCTTTAAATTACGTCGGGATCGATTCGCTCGTCATTTTGACGCTTTATTATAAACGTCAAATTTGACGTCAAGTTAAACGTTTAATTGAAATCGCAAGAGTTGTCTTCCCCAGTGTGTTGTACGTCTTTAAATACCAGTATCGAAACCATCGTGCACCAATATCGCTTAATTTGTTTAGCAGTGTACGTATAAAACGTCCCATAAGCAGGTGTGTAAATTATTCAGAGATTTTTTGAAACGATACCTCGATCACGCACAGTAATACTGTAGATCACCAAATTTTCGCGACACCTTATTTTCAAGTCATATGTATTTGGCGAAACAAAATTTTCACGAATACTGGGTATTGTTGTATATAATCTATACTAACAAAAATTTACGTGAAAATGAAATTCCCACGGGCAGTCCGTCTCGCGTAATAAAGCGAAAATAATGTACTCGCGAATAAAAAGTGATTTACAGTAGTAAAAGGTTTTAAGAAAGAAAATGTATATGACCAATTTTGTTTAATAAGCCATAAAATTTATGTTTATAAATCAAAACATAATGATCATAAATAAATGTAATGTGAACAGTATTAGAATTTCTTACTAAACATTGAAATTTATCTATTTCCAGTCGATAATAAGCGTTCGGTATTTATTTAATCATAATAAAAATAGAAAATACTCAACATTCAGCATTTACATAATTTTATGCTTCTCTTTTTAATCTTGACTCGAGAATCCACACTTCTTTCTTAAGACTGCATTGTGTAGCGAATAAATAATATAAAGGGCAGGTATCCATTTTTATTGAATGTTTTTTTTTTCATTCTTAATCACCAAGACATTGTCTGACAAAAGGAAACTAAGAATACATTTGATTTTGACTCTTTTTATATGAAACAAGACTACTAACGCTTATTTGTAATAAATTGGAAGTCCCAATAGTTTATTTCCTAACCTGAAACTAAATAGACGATATGCTATTTTTATATCATATATTAGCAGGTTCACATTCAAATCCAATATGTCTATTGAAAGAAAACAGAAAATAGACATACAGACGAATTGACAACAGGATTCTCAAGGAATGTAGAGGTTCTGCAAATCTTGATTTCTTTCAACTGATTTTTACGCCTTATAATTGCTGCAGTATGTTAATGTTACGAACTCTACACATAAGTTTTCATATCAGTATCAAACAATCGTTCACCAATATTGGTAAATTTGATTAGCAGTGTACGTATAAAACTTCCCTTAAGCTGGTGTGTAAGTTATTCAAAGATTTCATGAAACTATACTTCGATCACGCAAAGTAAAAGTAAAAGTTTAATGAAGGAAAATGTATTCGTTCAGTTCTGTTTAATAAGCCATAAAAATTACGTTTTTCAATCAATGGATAATGATCATAAATAAGTCTTATATGAACTGTATTAGACTTTCTTATTAAACATTGCAATTTATCTATTTCCAGTCGATAATTAGGGTTTGGTATCACTTTAATAATAATAAAAATAAAGGATACTCAATTTTCAGCATTTACATAATTTCATTCTTCTCCTTTAAGACTTGACTTGATCATATTTCCTTCTTAAGCGAATAAATAATATAAAGGGCAGGAAACAGAGAATGCATTACATTTTGAAGTATTTGCATAAATCAAGAACAATAACGCTTATTTTCAATAAATTGGAAGTCCCAATAGTTTATTTCCTTATATTAAACTACCTAAAAGATACGAGCACGTTCACAATCAAATCCAATTGTCTATTGAAAGAGGGCAGAAAATAGACATATAGACAAATTACCAAGAGGGTTCTCAAGGTATGTAGAGGTACTACAAATCTTGATTTTTATTCAAATAATTTTTAAAGCCTCATAATTGCTGCAGTGAGGTAACGTTACGAACTCTATACATACGTTTTCATAATCTTGCACCAATATTGGTAAATTTGTTTAGCAGTGTACGTATAAAACGTCCCTTAAGCAGATGTGTTAAGTATTTCGAAGATGTAATGAAACTATACCTCGATCACACACAGTTATACAAAAAGTTTCAAGAAAGAAAATGTATTTGGCTAGTTCTGTTAAATACGCCATAAATATTACAGAGTATTTCAATCAATAAATAATGATCATAAATAACGAGTTATAAACAGTTGTAGAATGTCTTAATAGAGAAATACCGACATCTTACGAACGAACGTAACTCGCCCTAACTTCCCGTATCTCGGTAGTTTTCCCGGGACCAGTTATTGAACCTGGTTAAAATTAATAAATCGGAAACATTAAGTATATGTGTATAATAGAACGGGCAGTATTTTAATCACTTTTTAAATGATACTTTCTCCTGTCTAATTTTCTGTAATCGCTTACAATGTATTTAAAAGCGGACAAATAGAAGAAAATATACCAAAATACCTATGACGGGTTAGGAAACACATTTGACATGCGTCAGTGGTTATACGTATATATACTAGTGTGCGCTGTGTTCATTTGGGGAAAGTTACGTGAAATCTAAACTCATACCCTGTATGAATCCATGCAAAGGCAACAAGTTACTAGGTGATGCGCTTATATAGTGTCTTATTTAAAAGTGTACATATGTGTTTGTGAGAGAGAGAGAGAGAGAGAGAGAGAGAGAGAGAGAGAGAGAGCACAATGGACAATAATTGTTGTAATGAATTATATAATGTAAAATTGTCTAATGTTTCAGAAATCAACTATTAAAAATTAGAAAATAGTCTGCACTTCTCCGGAAAAAGAAATATTTTTAAAGTGGTCACGCGTAGATGTTTGTGTACTTGGGGAGGGAGGGGGGGGGGTCGAAGCTCAATTAATTTTCATTTTCATTATATTTAAGTAAAAACATGGAATACTACGATCCATATACTACAATCCTTAAAAAAGTGGAATGGGGTAATGCATGCATATGCAATAATTTTTTTTTTCCATATCGTATCTAGTAAAAGAAAAAGTACCTTCATAAAGAAAGAAGGGTAGGTTTTTTCTTTATGTGAAATATCACTTCAAAGAAATAAACGAGCATTCATATGATAGACAGTATCTTCTTGGATGATGTATTATATTGCAGTCTTATCTTTTATTCTCATTTTCATTTTCATTTTACATGTGTATTTTCCTTTTCTGAACCCCTTTGCTTGTTTAAATGTCCATTGAAATGTATTGTAGCGTCATGGTAGCGACTACGACAGGAATCTTGCGGGGATTTTATCTTTTGAAATCGCAAAAAACATTGAAGAATTCAATAATGCAAATGTGAATACAATGAACGATCCTTAAGATGTCGGTATTTCTCTATTGTAACCTGTGTTTTATCAATTTCCATTCGATGATAAGGGTTTGGTAAACAGAGGTAGTCAGTAGTCAGAGGTAGTCAGTAATAGACTTGTGGATCCAGAACAGCAGAAGGCAATGTGACGATCCAGTCGATACACAAATGCTGTTTTTGTGACACAGAAAACATGTCATTATGAACTGACATTTTTTTTTGGAAAAAATAATTTTCTGATCATGTCAAAATAATGAAATTTGCAAAAAGCAGTCTTTAAACAATGTCTGCGTCTATACAGACCCCTAAAATTCATTGTCTGTTTTGTCAGTGTTATTTCATTACATGTATTTCATAGTGTCTACCAGCCCATTTAATAACATTTTTACTTAAAAATGTTTTTCAAGGTTTACCAATTTAAAAATATGAGGGGAAAAATTGATTTTTTTAAACATAAGTTTATGTGTATATTAAATAGTTGGCTTGATATATTAAAGGATTTTGGCGCTGAGAAATCATGCGCTAATTTATAAATACCGTTAATAAATCATGAATAAATACCGTATATGGTGTGGACGTGTGTTGCGCTAATTCATTACTAGGCTAACCACTGAATCCCACTAATTGCTCTAAATTTTGAATACGGCAATTTATGTTTAAGTACAGTATATATAGCTGCGCCTCGGGAAGTAGTTGTTGTCTTGGGGTACAATAAATTAACTTGCTATTGTCCTCATAAAACTATATAGGTGTATAATGTTTCATGGAATATATACTTTTAAATATTTCATTTTCAGCTCAGAACATTCAAAATAATGGATCTTCAGAGAAGTGCCCAAAAAGATATACGGTGTGAACACTGTGAGACTGCTGTGATACAGAGGCACTGTGAATTATGTCATGTTAACTTATGCATAGCTTGTATAGGAAAACATGTTTCTGATGACTACGACAAACATAAAGTCGTTCCATTCAAAGAACAGAAATCAACCTTGATCTTTCCAAAGTGTATAACGCATCGAACCAAAAAGTGTTATTTACAGTGCTGGAAATGCAACATTCCCGTTTGTTCATTATGTCCGGCTACCAAAAAACACAAAAAGCACACTTTCTTTCCCCTTTCAGAAGTTTATAATCAGAAGAAAAAATTCATTTCAAACGAAAAGAAAGAATTACAAGATCTATCCCCAACATATAAAGCAATAGTGAATGACGTAGAAAAGCAGATTTCCAATTTAGATGGTGATTATGGGAAGCTTGCAGATTTAGTGACAAATCATGGAAATGAATGGCACAGAGAAATTGACAGAGTTACAAAGAAAATGAAAAATGAATTTTATGAGATGAAAAGCAAACACCGGTGCCTTCTAAAAAATATTTGGATAAAATCAAACAGATACAGTCTCGTATTGATCGAAAGCTGTGTACTCTGAAGAAAACTGAAGAATCGAATGATGTGTCCAAGACCTTGCAATATACACCTGAAATCAAAGCATTCAGCAAACTTCCTTCCAGAATTCAAGTATCAATGCCAACATTTAGTCCAACAAATATCAACAGAGAACAGACTTACAAGTTATTTGGATCTTTAACATCCATATTCGGCACAATACAAAAGGAAGGCTACAGACGGAAGAAATCTAAGTCCGCAGCCAAAGAACTACTGGAAGAACCTAGGGTTCTTGCTACAATAAATACCGGGTATAGATTGCTCTGCAATGTTACCTTTCTCAGTAAAGGGGATTTCTGGACCAGTGCAGCATGCAGTGATCTTATTAAATGCTTCAACATTGAAGGTTCACTTAAAAAGACTTTCAGAACTAAGTCTCGGGAATGTCCAGGTGATATATCTGTGGCAAATGGTTTAGACTTAATGTACTGTGACTTGATAACAAAAACTGTTAATAAAGTGAAGGATGAAGAGATAGAGGAGGTGATCAGATTACAGGGCTGGATACCTCTCAATCTCTGTGCCACCACCTCTGGTGATCTCCTGGTTACGATGTACAGTGATGATAAAACGCAATCAAAAGTTGTCCGTTACTCAGGCTCCACAGAGAAACAAACAATCCAGTTTGATGATGAGGGTAAACCTCTGTATTCAGGAAATGGCAGATGTAAATACATCTGCGTCAACAGAAAACTGGATATCTGCATGGCTGACTTGGGAGCTGGTGCTGTAGTTGTTATCAGTCAAGCTGGTAAACTCAAGTTCAGATACACTGGTCACCACTCAACTACAAAGAAACTACCATTTGAGCCATGGGGAATCACAACAGACAGTCAATGTCAGATCCTGATTTCAGACAAGGAAAACCATTGTATTCACATCTTAGACCAGGATGGACAGTTCCTTCGTTTTATAGATAACTGTGATTTGAAAGACCCACATGGTTTATGCATAGACAAAAAAGATAACCTCTTTGTTGCTGAATATTTCTCTGGAAATGTCAAGAAAATTAAATATGCCAAGTAGTTATAGTATTGAAGACTATTTACTTTTTACTATTGAACAAGTTTTACTGTAAATATCTCCAATATTGGAAAACTTACACATGCTTTCTTAATATTATTTAAAGATAATTTCATACTTCTATTAATATTTGCCACCGTATATAAGCCTTATTTTCTCTTCTCAGACAATAAAAATGTTCTTGTCTTTTTCCCTGGGAAATATTTGCTATACATCTCAAACAAATATTTATTTCTGTAACATAAATTTACTTTTCAAATCAACTAAATAAAAGATATTTCCTATATTGATACTTGATTTCACAGATCTGAGGTAGTTGTATGTTACCATATACGAATGATTTAATGTTAGATCTGAGTGATTTGTTACTATATATGAAAATTCTGCTTGTAATTAAATGGATGGCAGAGGACATACATGTACGAGGAGTAGCCCATAAGGATCGTGGACAATGACATTTTGTCGAAGTGAATGGCCCTAGATATACTCATTGTATATCAAAATATTTGTTAAGAAAACACAAGTCAAACTAGTTTTGTTTTGGTTGTTTGAACTTATTTAATATATTTGTATAAATCAGTCTTGAAAGATCGTACATAGTGCACATGGCCCAGGGTTAAAATAGCATTTGAAATAAAGTTTTCGGATTAGAATATTTTTCTTCATATAAAACATTCATATGAAGGATTTTCATCATTTTCTCGTAACTTTATAATCGAGAGTGAAAATACTAAGAAAAAAAATGCAAGAAATATATTTTAAAAATTGACTAAAAAAGCGACGTCGGTCATCCGAATGAAACAGCGTCCAATAATAACTTTTTTTGATACAGCGAAAACATCAGAGGCAAACTATTTTTTCAAAGAACTGGATATTTTTGGAGTACAATATAGTTCATTGATTGTGAATTTTTCAACGTACAATTTAAGAGATACTACAAGGGTGAAAAACTACTGTCATTTGATGAAAATAGGATATCCCTATTCAGGACGTTGTTATAATTCTAGCGCAATTTTGAACTGGACTGTGCAGTATGTGCAGTGTTAATAATGACGACGTTCGATTATATATATATATATATATATATATATATATATATATATATATATATATATATATATATATATATATATATATATATATATATATATAAAGCACTAAAAACCAACAACACTGTATATCCTAAATGTCGGATCTACAAAGTAGATACAAGGTCACGGATGGAAATTTATATAAAGCACTAAAAATGACCAACGACATGAACAATAATAATTGTCAAATTTTCGGGACACTGTAAATATTTAGTGTAACGTGCAAGGGAAGTCACTATTTGTGAACCCCCGCGGGCTCGTACCCGTGATAGAAACGGATAGCCCTGAGATGCTGCAAATATGTACAACGCGCAGTCTTAATCACAGGATACTGCGTATATATATATATAGCTTTTACTGGTAGCGTACAAGTGACACTGGCAGGGAAGTCTACACACCAGCGCACTTCCGCAAGGAACATGCAGGGATGACCGCACACCTGCCCTTGCGCAGTGACAAGCAGGGATGACCGCACACTTGACACTAAGGAAACGGTTCTAGACTAGAGACACTGGCAGGGATGTCCACACCAATGCTCTACCACAAGTTACAGGCAGGGAAGTCCGCACACCTTATCTTGCGCAGCAACAAGCAGGGATGTCCGCACACTTGCTACTAAAAGATGCTAAGTCCAGAGCAGGGATGACCACACACTCTGGCAAGTAATAAGCAGGGATGACCGCACATTTACTATTCAATACTATACAATGTAAGCAGGAATAACCTCACACTTACACTTGTGGGATCTTGCATTTCTACATTGCATAGCTATGTCATATTCATGATTTAAGCGTTATATATGGTCCTTATATAATATATAATATAATTTTTGAGATAAGATGTAGGATATAGATTATCAAAATTATAATTTATATACAAAAGAAGTATGTGGGCAAACCTCTGACGGATATACATGTATGTTTATGTTTGATCAGTAAGGTACTGAACAGAAAAAATAAAAGAATGTTTCATTTTATCTTTTATCTCAAAAACTTGTTAGAACCGTTTTTTATCTTTCAAAGTTTGTATAAGAATTAAAATGCAACCATAAAAGTAGCTTCAAATTCACTTTGTACTTTCCCAACAATTTCAATGTTCTCAACCTAAAAACATTTTAATATATCTATATATCTTTAGAGGGAATTTGCAGAGTTATAAAAAGTTTATACTAAAGCAAATAAAAAATTACTTTGGAGCCCCCCTAGAAAAATTGGACCCCACCAACACTACCACGAAATAGGTAATTTTCACGTTTGGGAAATGGATTTAACGTTGTTTCTTTTTTTTTTGTTTTTGTTTTGTTTTTGTTTTTGGTTTTTTTTTTTTTTTTTTTTTTTTTTTTTTTTTTTTTTTTTTTGTATTATTTTTTGTTCTGTCTGGTTTTTGCTTTTCTTGGTTTAATACGATTGGAAGAGAAATTAGGTTTTATCCAAGAATTTTTTGGGTTGGAATTTTTTATTGAATGGGCTGAATACCCCCCCCCCCCCCCCCATCCCTAGAACAAAATCCTGGATCCGCGCCTGTAAAATACTCTCTGAAATGCACTGGTTATCTAAACTGCCAATATAGATAGTAAAACCAACTTTTCTTCTCCTCAAGACCATGAAAAACACTTCAATGGGACAAAGTCTAGGCATTATTAAACTAGCGAGTGTTATTTCAATAGTGGTCACTCATATAAAACGCAATTTAGAGAACGCCTAGCCTACAAATGAAATAGTCATTTTTTATATCGAGTTTGAAATGCATTCTCAACCACTATTGAAAAAAACTATTTTAATACATGTAATTGAGTTTGTTTGTTTGTTTTGTTGCCTAATGTCCCTTGCTGCATAGGGGTCTGTATAGCCCCAGCTGTCAAGCAATGGAGGGGAGGAGTCACAGATATAGCCCCAGACGCTGATTGGTTAGGCTGTATAGCCCTCCTGTCAAGCAGACTCAAGAGGGAAGTGGTCACAGATATAGCCCCAGACGATGATTGGTTGGGCAGATATAGCTCCAGACGATGATTAGTAAGGGAGAAGAGAGTAAGATATTTTATGGAAAAATAGCCCCAGACGATGATTGGTTGGGCAGATATAGCCCCAGATGATGATTAGTAAGGAGAGGAGAGTCAGATATTTTATGGGAAAAGGGAGGGTTTTTAATCATAATAGATATGGATACGTATAATCCAAGAGGAGGAGTCTATATTTACAAATATTTACTGTTAACAAAGAAAATGAAAATATTAAACCCTGAATAAGCCGAAAGATTAAATGTCAAAGTGGTCTATAAATTGGTATTTTTCGTATGACCTTTCTCCAACAACAGAAGAGAATTTACGTTATAATGAAAGTATGAAGAAAATAAGTACATAAACTACATGGTATAGTCGTATTCAAAATAAGATTTTCAAACATTCCACGTTGAAGGTTATATTCGTTTTAAATATCTATAAAACCTCTCGCATTTACGTTGAAAGTGTTCTTACGTTTTAACAGTTAACGTGACCAATAACTCCTCCCCCGTTCTCTCTTTTTTTCCTACTCTACATCACACTTTTTCCAGAGCTGTTTTGTCTGTTATATGCAAACTAACTTCCTCCTCCCACTTTTTAGCTCACCTGAGCTGAAGGCTCAAGTGAGCTTTTCTGATTGAAATTTGTCCGTTGTCTGTCGTCGTTGTCGTAGTCGTTGTCGTAAACTTTTCACATTTTCATCTTCTTCTCAAGAACCACTGGGCCAATTTCAACCAAACTTGCCACAAAGTATCCTTGGGTAAAGGGAAATCAAGTTTGTTCAAATAAAGGGCCACGCCTTCTTCCAAGGGGAGATAATTATGAATTCATGAAAAATTAATGGCATCATTTAAAAATCTTCTCAAAAACCACTGTGCTTGAAAATATGAAACTTCTATGGAAGCATCCTCAGGTAGTGTAGTTTCAAATTTGTTCAAATCATGACCCCCGGGGGTAGGGTGGGGCCACAATGGGCGATCAAAGTTTTACATAAGAAAACATAAGAAAAATCTTTAAAAATCTTCTTCTCAAGAACAGCAAAGCCATGATTGGTCATATTTATATGGAAGCATCCTCAGGTAGTTCAGATTCAAGTTTGTTCAAGTCATGACCCCCAGGGGTAGGGTGGGGCCACAATGGGTGATCAAAGTTTTACATAGGAATACATGGGGAACATCTTTAAATCATACAAAGGAATACAAAGGATATATCAATCAAAATTTTCTTCTTAAGAACAGCAAAGCCATTATTTGTCGTATTAATTCAAAAGCATTCCTATGAAGTTTAGATTCAAGTTATTTCAAATACCCCCCCCCCCCCGAACCAGTTTTATTTTTAAACTTTTCAAGACTGAACTGATTTCTGCTTTTTCCTAGCCAGAGTGCTCAGGTAAGCGATGTGGCCCCTGGGCCTCTTGTTTTTAGCAATACGAACTGTCTTCATTTTATTCTTGGTAAATTATTCGTATAGCATTATCATGTGAATGATCAAATAGAAGAAAACATCATCTTGAGTTTACATAGTTACATTTTATTAATCTCGTCTTATATACAACGGATGCCATTCATCTGACATTCTCTTCTGAAATACTCTCTGTAGTTGTAGAAACTATCTGTCTCATTAATGTTTTTAAATATAGCAATTGATTGAGATTTAAATGGATTCCTTCTACTGTTGCATTATGTCCTTTAAAACGTCGAATACCTATGGACATTTTTTTGTTTTTTATCACAAATAAGCACAAAGATGTCCTCGCTCAGTGGAAATTTATTGCTGTAGGGACACGATAATTTACTGCTGTTGAATTTCGCTCTTCCATTGATTGCAATCACGGATTTCCAGTACCTTTGGTGTATTTCTTCCCCCTCGTTTCTCCTCCAGAATAACAGTGTTAACGGATAAGAGTGTCAACT